AGTCTTTGAAGGATACCCTGCATCGGCTTGCGCATCGGTGGACATCGGCTTACGCCTCCCAGCCTTGTGCATCGGCTGGTGCGCGTGGTGGGCGTGACTACAGCGCATCGGTGTCCCAATGACGCGAGGGTGGCAACGATGGCGGCGCGCCCCTAGTCGTTTCATCCATCCATCTACCCATCCATCCATTCATCCATCCATCTATCCATCTTACTCTAAATGAACGTATGCTTGAGGACTCCACGCATGTCCTCCCAGAGGTCCGGAACAAGCGACCTTGCGTAACTGACTCGTTCCAGACGTCCGCGTCACCGCGGAACGTTCCACACCAGAATGTTGACCCACACCCATTTTGTTCGGATGCGCGTGCGCGCTTACACAACTCCTGAGCGGGCTTCCAGGTGCTGGCTCAGCTCAACCAAGGAAAGGCACGTGTGTGGTCCGCCCAACCCGGCTTCCCCGAACAATCGTGCTGGGTTGGGGCAGGCTCCCTTCCTTGAGAGGCACAGGGGTTGGTTGTGCTAGGTGTGCCTGTGGGTTCAGGTGCTTTTGTGCAAGCCCAGCTCCTGCAATCCCGGACGAGCCACGATGCGCTTTTGCGGCAAACTGTTGTTTTTCTGCCGTTCCCGTTGCCAGTATTTGCAACAGACACCTATGCAGGCGAGCATGACAGAGCCATTGTGTCTGCCCTCGCAACCTTGCTTGGCCTTGATTGTCCTTGGGTGCTTGCGCGCAGCGTGCCGTGTGGAGGAGTTGCAAGCTGCGGGGTGAAACCCGCCCGACTGGCCACAGCTGCTGGCGGGCCAGCAGTCCACACGCCGTGCTAGCCCACTGCCAGGCAGTTTTGCTTGGAGGCTTGCATCCGGCTGGCCAAGCCATGCTGCACTCCCAGTCAGGCCCTTTTGCCAGCCGCAGCTTCACCACTGTGCCAACTTGCCCTGCCTTGGCTTACTCCTCCGACGTTTTCCGGATCCTTCTCTTGAGGCGTCTCCGCCTCCCGCTACCCCTCTCCGAGCGCTTCGGCCGCGTCGTCGCCATCTGGTGCTTGCGCGCGATCAGGGGTTCTTTGGGGGCGCGGCTGTCCTTTGGAAAGGTGCGCCGCGCGGGTTTGCCGTGAGGCGGGGGCCCGTGTCACTTGCAACACCTGTCTGGCAGACATGCATTTGCAAATCGACCGAGTCGACGACAGGCGGCTTGAAGTCGTTGCCAACGGCCTGCCGCTTTGGGAATGGCCAGCAGCTTGCTGTCGACATCACCTGGGTGTCGCCCTTGTCTGGCCAGGGAGTGCCCAGCCGGCGCGGCGGACGGTACGCAGGCGCAACGCTGGCTTTGGCGCGCCGCCGCAAGGAACGAGCAGGGAAGCGCCTGCGCAGCTCCGCGCTCTCTTGGCGCACTCAGCCATGACGGCCTTTTGCTCCTCGCTCTTGTGCCAGACGGCCGGGCCCGGCCTCTGCAATGTGGACGGGGCGCTGCCCCCCTACAGCACCCTAGGGGAGCCTCCAGACCCACCCCTGTGCGCATCGAGCCTGGAGGCTGTCTGGTTCACCAACAGCCTTCCTTCAAGGCCTCCTGTGCCCGGAGGCATCCCTGCACAATCCATGGGAACAGGTTGTGGTTGACATCCAGCTTCTCGTCGAGGGAATGTCAGCATCGTCCATGGGAATCTCAACCGGGGCAACTCTGCTCTGGGCATTGTCCGAGCCACCTGAGTTGGTGAGCTCCCTGTGTGGCAAAACAAACTGGTTGCCTCCAGCTTTCCGAAGAGCAAACGAAATGTTGCTCCCTGATCCACGGCCCTGTTAATCTGGAAAAAGACATGCGCATCCTGAGTCTCGCTATGACCAATTGCCAACCAGGGGCGGGTCTCCCCGCGCACCCGGAGAGCAATGCCATTGACGGAGTAAAGTTCTTTGCACTTACTCCGGTCAACTCTTGACTCCTGGTCTGCACACAGATGCGCAGGCCCCAGTATCAACCAGGAGACCACCGGCCGACATACGCAACTTGCCGCGGCACATGTGAGTCAGCAGAAGGCTTCGGAGGGCCGTCCGGACGGACAGAAGACGGCTTTGGTCCCCGCTGATGTGCTTCACACTTCTGCTTGGGGCGGTGGTCCCCGCCAACGTTGGCAACTTATAAGGCAACACCCTTACCCTTCTGGCATTGAACCAGCACTCCTGCACCTCATGGCCCTGTTGCCAGCAGATGGGACATCGGTCCTTGTCCTTGCCCTTGTCAGGTTTGCCTCCTTTCCTCTGCGGCTTGTCTTTTCCCTTGTCCTTACCTTTTGCGCTCCGTTTTCCTTTGCCCTCCCCAACTTTCCCAACGTCCATTGAGTTGGGGCCTTTACGGAAGGAAGACCCGGCGGCGTACCCTGCGCTATCCAAACTCTCTTCGCCTGCAAGTACGACACGACTACGTCGCGGACTTGGTTGTACGTGGTCAAGGCTGCCGCGTGTATAGCTAGGTGTTGCCGCAAAGCAGCTGGGGATTCTGTAATCACCACTGCCCGCTTGTTTTTGTCGGAGATGGCTTTATCAGGGCCATACTCCGAAGCGTACCTGTCAAGGTCAGCTTCCCACTCCTGCAAAGCCGAGGAGAAGTCTAACTCGCGGGTTGGATTTGGGGGAGAGCACAGTGCGTCTCCAAATCAACGCTTTGGAATGATTCTCTGGGTGAAACTCGCGCCGCACGAGGCCACAGCTCGAACCCGTTTTGGTGCTGAACCCCTCTGGCTAGCTTTACCGCTGCAGGGGAGTCCTGCGCCCAGGAAGTGAGCATGCCGAGAGGCGGATCGACATTCGCCGCGCTTCATCGGTCATGTCTTCAGGGTCAAGAGGTTCCGTAAACCTTCGGGCTGCATCAATTCCTGAGGCACCCAACGTGCCCTTTTTTTTTGGTACGAGAAAAAAACGCTCGAATTACCGATTTCTGCTCGACCCCCCAAAAAACGCTCGCCCCCCGAAAAACGCTCGACCAAATCCCCTTCTTCCATCCAGAGGAAGGCGGGCATTGCTACGGTTTCTAAATTTGCACTCGTTTGCGGATATTTGCGCTCGTTTTGCGGATATGTGCGCTCGTTTTGCACTTCGATTTCTGCTCGCTCCTTTCGAAAATTCAACGAAAGATCATCTTCGAGGACCGACCAGCCCGGTTTTGGGAAAAACGCTCGAAGCAGAAAAAGTGTACGTTTACCATATTTTGGTGACGACCCCTGGTTTTACAATACGTTTGGGCTAAGGGCAGAAATTTAGGTAACGAAGGGTGCTCCAGGTTCTATCAGGGTAGTCAGGTCAATAAGAATCCCAGTCTTCTTTCCCTTGCAAGGGGCAAGGCGCTTTCACCGGACTTTTCAGCAGGTCTGCGCCTCTGAAAGCACTTTGGCTGCTTGACCGGTTCTGCACATCGATCAGAACGCCCTGTACTTGCAGCAAAGCCTGTTGCAGCTCGTTCTGACGCGCCTGAAGCCGACAGTGAATGCTTGCTGCATCTCACTTTGACGAGCCTGGCTGGCCTCCTGGCGCATGAGGTCCATCTGCCGCATCATCTGCTGCATGACTGTGGAGTCTGACCTGACATTGTTCAGCTCAGTCTTGCTCCCTCCTGGCTTCTTTGTGGGCAGCTGCGCTTGGCTTAGCTGCGCTGTCTCCAGGCTCGCAAGCGGGGAAACCCGCTTCGTCGGCAGGAGATGTGGGGGAAGGTTCCTCCTTTCTCCTTGTGGGCTCGGCCGGCACAGGCTCGACCTGCAGAGAAATCCCAGTGGTGCAGGAAGTTGACTCACCTGCTCGCTCAGGGCTGGGTGACCAGTCAACGTCCGACCCCGGGTCGTCACCTTGAGCTTGAGCTTGTAGGCGGCGACGCTGTCCTCTGTCCTGCCGTTTTTCCTGTGCGGCTTGGCTGCGCGTCCCACGCCTATTTCTTGGTTTTTGGCGGGCAGTGGAGCTGGCGGCCTCGCGGTCCTGCCAGCTATGCCAGCTATGTTCGGACCAGCCTTGGCCACGCCAGTCCCAGGAGGTAGTAGACCACCAAGTCGTGGTGTTCACAATCTTGGCGCGGGGCTAGCCGCTGCCAAGAAGTAGGCCTTGAAGTGGAAGGAAGGACGGCCTTCCAACCCCAAAGCTCGAGCTGTGCGGGGCTACCATGCAACGGAGGCAGGCAGCTAGCGTATTAGGCTCCTTTCTCTTTGCACAGCTTGGTACAAAGGGGGCTACAATGGAAAACATATAAAAGCACATTTGGCTCAAACCCCTACTGATCTTCACAAAACAAAGCATGCACGACATGCATGAAATCTTAGCATAACCTGCTTTTCCGGGACGGGGGGGAGACCCATGCGGCGGAAAAAGGCGGGCGGAAAAAAAGTTGGCTTTGACATCGTGGAAAGGCTTGCCGAGACATGAAACGCGATCCGTGATCTGTTGCCTAGTTCCTCGTTGCAGCCAGAAAAAAAAGAGAACCTGTTCCTTTGGCCTTGTTGAGCTGCGTCAAAACGGGGGGCTCAGATAATTTCGAAATTTCCCATGTTGTTACGAGGGCTGCCGCGCAACAATCCCGCACAGGGCCTCTCACGGCAGGCGTAACAGCGCGCACTTGCCCCCAGGAAGCCGCAGATTTCGGAACCCTTTCATTTCACAGGCAAGGTTGCTTCATGGTTGCCTCCAACGATCCAAGATTGAAAGTGAGCATGTGTTTTTGAGATACGCAAAATGTTACAAGAACAAATGCTTGAAAACACTCACATTGACCCTTGTTGTGGAAACATGTTTGCTTTGCGGGTTGCCACCGGCGCGCGTGACCTGAATTTCGCCCAAGTAAATGGATTTGAATTGGTGCCACCAACTAGGAAAACCAGCACCATCAGAGGGCAAAGTTAAGTTTCTTGCGAATCTGCAGTCATGCAAGCATCTTTCAGCAATGGAGCCTCAAAGGCACAGTAGGTCACGGCGGTTCTAACTTTCCTCCTGGCAAAAACAATTTTGTTGGTCCATCCTTGCTTGCAGGCAGGGCGGCTTTGCTTGGGATGTTTGCCAGCGACTGCAATCGCTCGGGTGCATGGCTGCTGCTTCCTGGAATCCGTGGGAATGCTTGGCGTGCTGCGCGGCAGCCGAAGCGCCGGCTCCTTCTCTCAAAGTTTTCATGCTGCCCTAGAGGGGCGCAAACCACACGCCATTTCGAGTGCATGTGTTCCATGTCCTTTTGGAGAGCATTCAGCCGAATGTTTTTCCTTTAACTTATGAGCTTGGGCACATTTCAACTGGGAGATTGCATTTGTTTGATGGCATTTCGCATGATTGCATTTGCCAAGGTGGAACCGCACGATGCACCAGCTGAAAAATTGATTCCAGTTTCCACGGTGTTCGTGAAGTCAATGGACGAACCGGATGGAGGAGAGCAGCTGGACGCCCCTGAGACAGGTGAAGTGCTGCCCGACTGCATTGTGCACTGTGGCGTGGTGGTGCGTGTGGGTTTCGAAAACGGATCCCGAGCGAAAAACCTTGGAACACAAGCTTTGATAAGGTTTGATTGCTTTTCAGGCTACAAAGGCAACTTGCTTGGAGTTTCCTAGGCGTTTTGACCAAGCCATCCAGAAGAACTCAGCCGACAGCCAGGGAAACATGATAGAATCCTTTGCGGGTCGCGTCGTGCACGAACTTTCCAATGAACAATGCCACATTGTGCCACTACCGGTGTGCTGGCGTTTGGGAATGATGGGGCGTGGAGCGGCCCTTGTGTTTGATCATTGTTTGCCTCTTTTTCACGCAGGCTTGCCGAGCAGAGACGACAGCTCCAAGAACATTTGGCTTCAGCGCGAAGCCGTCCTGCTAAGCAGACGGCTTTCGCTGCAGATGCCGCCCCTCGGTGCACAAAGCTGCTTGTGCCAGCTTGGGAGCGGGGGCACTTCCACGGCTTGGGAGAAAACCACATCATGCAGCAAACAAAACTGGCTGTGACAGCACAAGCTCAAGCCTTTCATCAGTGTGATGATTGGCGGAAGGATGGGAATAATTCAAGACCTGTTCGCAGGGAGCTCCATGCAACAAAGTAAGCACACATTCCGTCTCGCCCCAAACGAGGAGTTCAAAAAGGTCCTGCTTGTCCTGAAGCTGTCCTCGGTTATGTAACAAAGCGAGGCCAAACTGAGTGCATCACAGCGGTGTGTTGGGCAAATCAGTGGCAAATCTGCCGTTTTCCTCTCAAATTTGTGAGATGCCCGCGCGTTCAAGAGTCGTTCAAGTGAAACACTTCTGGGATGGGATTGCTGCACCAAACCCACGGACCTGGTCTTTGAACCTCTGAGCGCTCGAAACGGCCTCGGACGACTTGCTGTTCCAGTTGCATCACAACCACGTCAAAACCTGCCCCGCCACCGAGAGAAAAAGCAATCAAGACACAAGAAACAACAAGAACAGGGCGTATGATGCAGGCGGCCAACTCCAAGATGCCCACGAGCCCGGGGCTCAAGAATTCAGGCAGTTGAGCCACAGGCCCCCCGACTTGGGCTGTCAAAACTTGATGTTGGTGACCATGTTGGGTGTGCATGTGTCCCGTGAATTAAAATTTGAATCGGGCAGCACCAAAGAGCAGTGGGGGACAGGCATGCTAGGCCTGAGGAGGCATTGCTTTAAGGCTGGATTGGTTTGTCAGTGGCTGCTGTTACTCATGCTCGGATGCGTGGTTGGTCGCCTGTTTGGATTTCCAAAAAGAAACATGCAAGAGTCTTAGGGAGAACTGGTACGTAAAGCAGGCTGCCTTTTTCAGCCCTCTCGCTTCAGAGATGGTGTCAGCTTTCAGTCCGCACGTCCAGTGCCCAGGCCAACCCCAGGGAAGCCAAGCCGGGGGCCCCGAAGGTCGGGGGTTAGAGGCCCCGGACGTTTTTGATTTTTTGTTGTTTGTTTGTGTGTGTGTGTGTGTGTTTTTTGTTTTTTGGCGGAGACTGGAAGTGCACTTTCAGCTCATCAAGAGGGTGCCTAAGGAGACCAAACCGGACAAACCCAGGTTGGGAGCTGCTGGTGCCTGGCGCGTTTGGATCATTTGATATTTGCTTGGCAAACCCGTTCGGAACCGCGGACGGATCAACACGGCCAAAGTGTTGGCCGTTTTGCCTTGAGCAAGAATTTCCACATTTTGCTCGACCGGCTTACCTGCGATTTCGTGCAGTTGTTAGCTTCACTGCACGAAGCACCTCTGCTTGCGAATGTGTTGCCGGCAGAATCATGATGCAATTGGCTCATGTAGTTGCTGGTTCTGAGCGTGTTTTCTGGATGGCTGGAGTTGTTGCTACGTGCCCAGTGCCCATCTTCAGATTTTTGCTGCGCTTGTCAGCAACTCGAAGCAGTCGTGGCAAACTTGCGGGAGCAAGGGCTTCAGCCGTTGCTCCCCAACAGCTGAAGGCTAGGGAGTCCCTGCTCAAATAAAATCTGGGGTCCGGAGCAGCTTACAAGGGGAATTCCCGAAGCTTCCGGGCGCGTAACTTCCGTGAGGCCCGTAGAGGCGAACCTCCGACTAAGTACAAACCTAGGTACCCCAGTAGTGCCCGTTTACCCTTTTTTGGGGGGAGGGTTCCCCTATTAAAATAGACAACAGAAAAAAGGGTACCCTTATTCTAACCTCCCTACTGGAGGACCTAGAAACTGATCATTAATCATTAAACCGTGCATGCAGGCAGCACTGTGGGGCGAGCCAGCCCTGTTGAAACCAGAAACAGTGGAGGCAAAGAACGCCCCGTACTCGCCACACGCATCGAAGCAACAAAAAAATTGAACCCAGACTGTTTTATACTATGCCCTGATTGAAGCATTGCGCGCGCTCATGGGTCAGAGCAAAGATTGTGGCAGCATTGCCCTTTAAGCCCGCCTATGAAAAACGCATCCGTAAAAGAAAAGCGCCGCACAAGCTTTAGGAGATGCTGAGGATGCAAAAGGCGCTTTTTGAGTCCCAGCTAGAATGTTGGCGGGAAGAAGTTTCCAGGTTTGCGCTTTCTGGCCTGCAAGCTGCTTTGGGAATGCGGCAAAGCAACTTGACAGCTTTAAGAAATGAGCACATGGAAAGATTGGGCAATCCCCTTGCGCAAGGGAAGGAGTTGTCTGTTGTTGTGGACACTTGCTTTGCCAAGGTCTTGGACAGAGCCCGAGACATCCAAGAGGTCCGAAACTTCAGCAGCTTGGATGTAGATTTGGGAAGCCTTGGGCACGAGGGCCAGAGTCGAGCAAGACATGTTCCTCTCCTGAGTTGGGTCTCGGAGGGGTGGGCTGCAACCTCTCAAGTTGCCTCAGCTTCTTGTGAGGAATGTTGTTCCTCGCAAAGGCGTGACAGGGTGCCGCCATTGTTAGCCCACGTGTCGACGCGAAAGGCTGGTTGTGGTGGAGGGGCACTCGCCCCTTTTGAGGACACCTGCGGACGAGCGATCAGCGGGATACAATGGTGGTCACCTCAGGCTTGCCGATGCGTTCAAGACGGCATGTGTGTGGTTCAAACTTGGGAGTCGTTGGTCGGTTATGCTCGATTCTGGGTGGCGCACCTGGCCTGGCAGCTGAGGCCATTGTCCTTGCCAGGCAGCGAGCGGGCAGGGCGGGGCAGTGCAAATTGTCAGGCAAATGCAGAGCCACCAGCTCCATTGTGGTTGGCACGTCGCTTTGCTGATGCTGCACATGAGTTGCACATGTCCGCGGTTTGGACACTTTGCGCCCCGACTGTTCAGCCTCGCAATCGTGTTTGCTGGTCCCAACATTTGCGACACATCTCTCCATTTCAGGCGCGGAATTGCACTTTCAGCAGCTCCTTGCTGACACCAAGTATCCAAGATGCTCAAGGGCCCTAGGTTTGCGGGCCCGTTCATAGCAGCTATAAAACCCCAATCCACTCCTTGAACTACGGCTTTCGCACCATGTTTCGTCCCTCAAGTTTTCTGCTACCTCCTCCATATTGACCAGCCCATCCTCCAATCCTTGGTGCCCAAATGCAGGCCGGCCCTCTCCGTTCCTTTTCAGCTGTTCCCCCGAATCTCCTTCCCCCCAAGCTCCGACCCGGGAGGTTCGCAGCCGTGGAGCTCACGCCGCGGATCTCCGAGGACCGCGAGAGCCCGGAGCTGCCGCCGGCTGCGGGGACGAAGCCGCTGCCGCTGCGGGCGCCCGTGGGGCGGCTGCCCATCCTGGGCACCTGGCGGTCGCAGAAAACCAAGCGCCGTGACGAGAGAATGAGACCTCCTGACAGACTCAGTCGCTTCCGCAAGGGAGGGCTTGGGGTTGTTCACACCGGCTGGAGGCTGCCTAGCACTTGTTGGGTCCCTTGGTGGCGCCCCCTCAGAATCATTGTTTGCTGATGCTTTTGCCTTTTTGTGGATCTTTCCCGGGCGTGGAGACTGCTTGGCCTTTCATGCCAGCAAGGTCATGTCCACATTTGCCAAAGCAGCCTCGCCGGCCCCAACGCCGCAAGCAAGCTGCTGATGCCATTGGCACAGGGCGAAGCAAGCTGCGGAAGAGATCCCATCAAACGCAGCATGACCAACCTCATTGCATCGTTTGCAGACGAATGATCGGGGTTTGACTCCGGGGGCGAGCCGATGACTTCATCAAGCCTAAGAATCGGGGCGGGAGGCAGTCAAGAGGCAGTTTTCTGAGGAGTGATTTAGAGTGATCCATGCAGGTTCGGTTACTAACCTGCTAAGATATGAGGTTAAGTATGTTGATCCGAGGTGCTATTACTTCTACTTCGAGGTGGGGGACAGATACAACGTTGAGTTCCCCAACACCTCGATGGTCATTGAGCACTGGAGGCATTGATTTCAAGTCGCAGCTGTTTGCTGCTGTGGTGTGGGCATGGGGTGGGTTTGGGCTGGGATTTGTTGCTTCACATTTTTCAATCCTCATGTTCGGCATTGATCCCTTCAGTATTTCTGTGTTTGGCCCATACCTAAGTGAAACTCCCAATAGCTTGGTCCTGTGCCCAGTCGGGACACCTTGATAGTGTGGGTGGACGAAATCCTCGGGGCTGACTCCCACAAGTTAGCGTTGCCCCGGCGCATCAAAACTGTTTCTGAACAAAAAACAGGGCTGGTGCGATAGGCAGGGAAGGAGACCCTTATAGACCATGCAACTGGTGGTTTCCTGCTTCGGGAATTTCTGGGTTTCACTCCCTACTGCGCACCAGCAAGAAAAAAGGGGCTTAATTCAGGAACTCTTGCAGGAAGAGCCCCAGCTACTTCATTGTAGCTTGTTTTTGGTTGAGTGCTTTCTGTGTGCAGTCTCTTTTTTTTTTTTTTTCGGGGTACCTATTTAGGGGTTGTTCTAGAGGGAAACACAGGAACACCACAATTTGTGGGGTGTCCTGCAACAAAAAAAGACTAATGTTGCACGGACACCGCAGGAAAAACGCGATTTTGGGGTGTCCCCGCAACAACAAACAGGACAAACCCATTTCGGCCCTACGCATGCGGTCCAAACGAGTCGCGTGGCTTCGATTGCTTATTGCCAGGGGCGATGAGCTGCTGCGGTTGGAGGCGGCCCTGCTGGTGAACGACATCCACGCCAAGGCGTGAGTCACTGGGAGATGCGTCCAGAGTTGCTAGCCGTTGGCTTAATGTTAACCCCGGTTTAAGAGCAACCCCTGGTTGATTTTGATCCGGGGGGTGTCTCCTTTTAGTGGGGATTCATCACTTTTGGAGGGAACACCTCCCTAATAATGGGACGGGTTTATTAATCCTGGGTCAACATTACTGGAAGCTATTTGAAAGGCTTGTCCAAATTGATGTTGTTTGTTGGCGCTTGGTGAGTCCCGAATTTTGCCAGGCATGGTTTGCTAGTTGAACTTTAAGTTCCTTGCGTGCTAGTCCGGCATGTGCGGAGCGTGTTTAAGGCTTGCCATAGATTGCACCTGGCTTTGGCAGTTTGAGATGCCCTTTGGCACACCAAGGCCCGTTGCAAATCTAGCATGCCCTTCATCTCGTTTAGTGGCGATCCTGATTTTGATCTTGCCGTTTTAGGCTCAGGCAAGTGAGGCTTCGTTTTTAGTGGGCGCGGGCGCCGGCTTCTTTCTTGATACGTAACGGTGCTGGAAGCGTCCTGGGAATCATGGAAGCGTCCTGGGAATCATCAAATGACAACTCACTCCCCAAGCTCCCGGATTTTCAACTTTTGGGGAAGACCATTTTGGTGATAAAAAAAAAAAAAAGAGTTTGGTTGACTTCTTTGGCATTTGGCCCTTCCACTCGTTAGACTCGTGAAGCGAGAGAGAGAGGACGCATCGCAGGTCCCGGCCGTCTACGGGCGCCTCGCCAACCGAGAGAAGGCAGCGAAGGATGAGTTCCAGGATGGGGACTGCGTGGTCCTCCCAGCCATCGTGCGACCCTGGGAATGGCATTGGCAAGCGTTTTTCTCTCCCGCCCCCCCCCCCCCCGTGTTGTTCCGGTAGTTTTTTTCATGTTCTTTTTTTTTGGGGGGGTCCCTATTTCATGGCACAGATGGCACAGATGTTCGTTGTTTTTTTTGTTTTGTTTTTGTTGCTGTCCCGCTTTCGTGGCAGAGATGGCACACATGTTCATTGGTTTTGGTGTTGGTTTTTCATGGCACATATTTTTTGGCGCCCGCCGCTCCCTTTCCAGCCATGTTTTGTCATTATTTTTTCCAGTGCTTTGCTTCACCCAGCGCTTCTTGGCGGGGATCACGAAATCCCACCCTTTTGGCCATGCTCCGAGGAAAGAGGCCGGAGGATGGCCTGTCCATTTTTTTCACGCCCGTGAGATCGCTTGCTTTGAAAGCGTGCATGTTTGGGCAAAGTTTGGTCAATGCGCTCGTTTCCTTTCATGAACCACGGACGGCCCAACCAAAAGACCGGACCTCCAGCCGCGGCGCGTTACGCGCTCGCTTCAAGGCGACCACCACGCCTTTTACAATTGCAGCCTCAACCAAAACCTGCAGAAGTTCCTTCATTGCGAAGTCGTGGAGGAAAATGACCGCCGGGAAGCAGGGTTATGAGGGTTGAGGGTTGTTTGGGCGGCTGATGTTGGACGTTGGGGCCAAATCAAAATAGTGTGGGAGACTTTTGGGGGTTTGCTCTTGGGCAAACACATGGTGGCAACTGAAAAATCAACCAGACGAAGCCATGACGAAGCTTCATGATCAGAGTGATATTTGTGGTGCACTTGGAAGCTGCAGAAGTGTGGCTCTTTTGTGCTGTTTGATATGTAACCCCTGGCCACTATCTTGATTCATGCATTTGAGGGCCTCCTGGAATGCATGACCAGCAAGATCGCAAGCTTCACTTTTTGCAAGCGCCAGTCAGCATACGACTGGATGTGATTCTTTCTCACTTGTCCAAAGCCGACTCTTTTGGGCCTTTCCGGGTTTTTCATTTTGGTCCGCATAAAGTTCCAAAGGGTTAACCTTCTCAGGTCCACCTGGGCAAGTGAGATGTTGCTCCAAAGGTGCGTGAGGATGAGGTTTCTCAGGTTTCTGCTATCAAGTTGCCTTGAGGTGCAGCAGAACCAGCGAATGCTCTTGGAAATGATGGCGTGGGCCCTGTGGGAAGGGGGAGGCTGGGCTTGTGGGGCATCAAGAACCCTCTCCGAATTTCTGCGATGTTTGGGGTTGCTTTTCAGTTCAAATCCCCCAAAGACAGATGGGCTGCATGCGTGACCGCTCGTGGGGGTCAAGAAGATCTCAATGCCCGTATTCCGCGCCGGTCTCTGCGTACCAAACCTTCAAGAATGGATCCTGCGCACCAAGGGACCAGAAGCTATTCAACGGAGATGCGAACTGGCAACGAAAGGACCAAGAGGAACCCCACATTGGCTTCATCTTTGTGTTTGTGATTTGTATTATGGCACCTTGTTTGGGGTGGATTCCATAGTTGGGCGTGCCTTTTGTTTAGGGGAACCCCCTAACTTCTTTGTCTTTGGTGCACACCGCATCAATCCATCGAATCCATGATGCATGTTGACCCCCAGCCTTGAAGACAGTTTGCAGCATAGCAGACCTGGTCCACGCTGCAATGGGGCATTGAAGCAAGGGGGTGGGGGCAAAGGAAGTATTGCGCCAGGAGCCTCATGCTAGGTCAGCACGAATGCTCGGCAACTCAAATTTGGCTGGGTGCACTTTCAGCAATGAGAACTGTTTTCGTCGTTCTGTTCGGCTCGAGCTAACGCCGTGCGGATTGCAATTAAACATGCCATCCGCCAGCATGCCCGTCAGGGCCGTCGGTCCTTTGACGGGATGTTTACCTCCTGTGGCTATGGTTTGGGAAAGTTGCGGTGTTTCAGATGTGTTTTTCTTGTGCAAATAAGCACTAAATTTCATGAATGCAAGCTCCATCCAGCCTTGCCAATTCCTCTTTTTGCAGGCGGCAGAGACAAGTGATCAAATGATGTGTCAAAGGCCGTGCGCCGTCCTTCCGGCTGATTTGGTGGCGTGGCCATGTGAAAGCGCTTAAGACACAGACGCGTTTCTCGCGACACTTCAACTTTTCCGTCCTTGCCATGGGACAGTCGCCGTGCAGCTGTGAGAAGGGGCCATCTGTGAATACACAGACCATCAGCGTGCCGCTGCCTTGTTCTGAGGGTCTTTGCCGTTTGAATTCGGAGGTTTGCATGGCGAGCCACTGCAGCCGGGACTCTTTTTTACACGTCAGTCATTTCCTGTTTTTCAGGGCACCTTTTGTTGGATTACTTTAAAGGCAAAGCAAAAGGAGATCCACCATTTTGGGCCCCCTGCTTCTAAAAAGGGCACACCCATGCGTTTGTTCAAACAGTGGCAGGGTGCAACTTCACTGATGTCAGCTTCCCCCGAATTGGTGGTTTGGATTCGTGGTTTGGGATTGAACCCCTGGTTCTTGTCAAGGGTAAATGGGACACCCCTCCTAAACCACCAAACCACCAATCCAAACCACCAATTGAAGGGAAGCTGATGATGTGCTTCTGTCGGCTTGCAGCACCGTCATCGCCAGGGCGATGACAATGCCGCTGCGGGAGCGGCTTGGCTGAGCCGGTCGATGTGGGTTGCTTTGCTCGTATTGCATCACTCCAGGCGAATTGGGCTTCAAACCCAGTTGCCCTATGGTGCCTTTTTCCATTTTGTAGAAAGGGTTCCCCTTTAAAGTCAGCCAACCAAGAAAGGATGCCCGTTTTTTCCTATGGCCACTGGGCATCTGAGTTTACCATGTCAATTCAGACGCCTTCCATATTTGGACTGCAGCCGTGATGCGCCCGACATGGCAGATCATCACAATTGTGGGATGTTACCCCGCATTTTTAACACGGTATTGACGTGTATGACGGCATCATATGTTACATCAGTTGTGCTACCAGCGTGGCATTCGCACATTCATGTGCATGATGTAAACCATATATAAATATATGCGTCATACAGTGTGTATATATATATATATATATTTGTATGTACACTGTATGCGTGTTCTGGGCTTGTTGCTAGGCGTGGTTGGGTAGACCTATCCCAGCGCAATCCTTCCTCCCACCAACAAGGCACCTGTGGCAGGGAACCTGAAAGACCAGTTTCCTCTTGGAGGGACCCCATGTCAAGTGCCATGTTAGTGGGAGAAGGGGCTACATGGAACTCATGTGCATCGAGGCGGCAGCGCTGGCGGTAGCGGAGGCGGATGCAGGGGGCGGTGGCACGAAGGCGGGGAGCATGCAAAATGGGCCGCCGGCAAGAGGAAACCCAAGGTGCTTAAAGATCCTCAGCTGAGGTTGTATAACTCACTTCCTGAGTTCATGAGCTTTAAACTTTTTGGGAGGACCATTTTAGTGGTACAGAAAAAGTTTGGACTTTTTGGGGGCCATCCACTTGGCTCAAAATCTCATAGCTAATTTTTGCAAGCTGTGAACCTTTGGCAGGGTCTTGGATGGTTCCGACTGATTGCATCTGCGCAGATTGCTACCAGTCACAAATCGAGGTGGTATAAAAACGTTGTTTTATATAGAGTTGTTTTTGGGACGTTGCCGCCCTGTCACCCTTGCAACATTAGAGTAAAGTGTCGCACGCAAAGCACACTTTGGCAGTTCCAGCTTGAAACTCGCATCTGCTGCCGTTGCACTCAGAATCCGTGTGGATGTGAGGAAAGGCGTGCAAAAAACATATCACAATGGTGTTATCGTTTTTGTCAGCTAACAAGTCTCATCTTTGCTACCCACACGTTATGTCTTTCCCTGCTGACAAGATCGTCATCTCTCTCTTTTTCTAACCTCCTTGTCGTTTTCCAATTCAATGGCATTAAATGGGCACGTTTCGGCCACAAGGGACCTCCGACTAAACTTTCCGAACTTTCGTATAGATCAACGGGGTGTTTATCTCACTTGGGGTCGCAGTCCCGGTCTCGCTGCCAGGCAGCCTTCGAGGCCAACGCCACCTACGATGGCCCGTGGCAGAACGGCCAAAAGCACGGGTACGGCGTGCTGATGGGCAAGGACCGGCCCAGTGGGTTTGGCGCATTCGGTTCGGACATCGTTACATGTAGTATAGAATTTTGCCACCACCGCCAAAACTCGGTTGGCTTCGGTCCGACAACGAGCAACTAATCAATTGATGGGTGCCCTGAGAGGCACTGATCTCCAAAAACGGGAGATAGAGAAACAAAGGTCAGCTACAGCAGAACCCAAAACCACATTGTGATGTGTGAGGTGTAGTGGGGATGCTCTCGCTCAAGCCACTTCAATCGTACGTGCGTCGCGCCAGGTTTGTATGTTGGCCAGTTGCTCGGGTTCTGAGCATTCAGTTTGCATGAATGAGATCTAATGACCGTCGCTGTGCTTGATGATGGCGTGCGTTTTCGCTCAGCGCGGAGGGCTGATCACATGACACACCAGAGCAGACATGCTATCTAAGCGCATATCCGTTTGCGAGGCACAATGCAGATGTCTCATACCCCAACGCATCTGTGTGATTATGGATTTCCTTGGTTGGCAGCTTGTTCTTTGTGTTTTTGTTTTGGTGTTTAGCAGCGCGCTTCCTTATTTGTGCAACGGACATACAGTACTCAAAGGGAAGGGGTCCCACTATTTCTTGATGGCCATGCGTGAGAAACAGCAGAATGCTTTTGCATATGTGGGTCTGTCTTTAAGGTTGGACGCCACAAACTGGTAAACTGGTGGTTTTCCTGAGGTGGTTTCCCCTTAATCTGGACTGTTCAAAGGCAATCCTCAATCCTTACCTTGGGTTATTACGCAAGGATTTGGTCCCCTTTGTAGTGGCTTCCCTTTGGGGATTATGGAAAATCGGATTGGCCAACGCTGGATTTTGAACAGCAGGGTTACTTAAAACCCGACAAAGAGAAGGCGGGAGACCTCCAAAGACGAGCCACCCATGGCCAGTGGCTGGCTCCCAGGATGGCGCAAAGTATTCCGGACTTCGCCTCAGGATGCGAATCTTGTGCGACTGGCAGGGTGCGAATTTCCATGGTGGTGGTACTTGGCTATTGGGTCGCGGATCTTTAGACTGAACAGCTTTTTGGTTGAAATCGAATGTTTGCCGTATCGAACTCACAAGAACAACTTTGCTGTCATCAGCCATCAAGGTTTGAGTAGCCAATCGAACCTCCTCCCCCTACTCAGATTTAATAAATCCGAGCCTCCCCCTATAGATTTGTATTCGCCTGGAGGCGAAAGACATACACGTATATATATATATATATATCTGTGTGTAATGTATAAATACATACATGTATACATTGTATCATTAATACGCGGTCCATTTGTGGGCCAGCGGATATCACTGCCATCCTTGAATTAAATGTGGCTTTGCTTGCGGAAGGTAGAAACGCGTTGTTCAGGAAAAATGGGCAGCTGCGTGTGAATTGACTGTATTTTTGTCGGTTCGCCACCTTGCCCATCAGCCGGTTCAGTGGGTTTAGTACCGCCTAGTGCTGCTCGCAAAATGATCCCTAATGCGACTACAGCTAGGTTGTTGGTTTGCTATTGGCTGAGTCTAAGTTAGTATTTGGACATTTGGAGTCTGGGAAAATATGTTTTAATTTAATAGGGTACATTTTCTATTGGGGGGCAAGGATTAAATTGCAGCGTCACCTCTTTGACGCCACCACGACGCAAGAAGCAAACTGATGGTACACTTGGCAGGGTTGTGGTTTGGTCACCTGAGCCGAATATTGGCGCAAATGAGCCACTGAGACTGGGCTTGTACAGATCCCTTGGGTCACCAAAAAGTAGAACCCTGACAAGGTCAGTTCCAGAACGACAAGAAGGAAGGTGAGGGTGTGTACCACTATCCATCCGGTGCCAAGTACACTGGCCAATGGGTGCCGGCCTTAGCAACCTCAATCAGATCCTGCCGCATTCAGCAGCCAAATGGGATCCCTGTCAAGTTCGCAATCTTCAGTTTGCTGGGCAGAATGCTGATGGCTCACTTTACTTGTGCCTGGCTCTCGCCCGAGTCCTCAATCAGCCGGAACAAGCCAGGGTTCGGGGAAGTCAGCATGTCAGGTGAATGGTTCCATTGGGTGGGGCAAGGGGTTTTGTTTGGATCCAGGTGAATGACATGCAGGAGGGCCAGGGGAAAGAGGAGTGGGCGGATGGCTCTGTGTTCGAGGGCGAGTTCAAGGCGCGGCCGTTGATTCTGGAGCCCTTCGGCTTGGGCAGCTTGCGCTCTGTTGCCCAAAGCCGACCTTTTGGCCTTTTGGCTTCTCCTTTTTGGGTCTAGTTTTAGTCATGGCCCCAAAAGGTGATCACCTTTTCTGTCTGGGTCCCAAAAGGGCAAGTGAGTGCAACGAGCAAAGAACCACTACGCTTCCGAGCATCCTTTGCGCGGGATTCCCGCTTCAAGCCTTGGATGATCTTGGATCTCAGGGCGTGAGACATTGGTCGAAGCGCTGCGAACGCTGGGAAGGTCCTTGTTGCATACGCTTGCAGTCCGCAGTCCTTACTAGAGAGGATCAATGGGTATGTCATGGTATGTCTGTTGTTAAGGTTGGACACCCAAACTGGGTGGCGTCCCTTGTGGTTTCCCTTACAAACTGCCAAAAAGTGGTACCCTCAAAGACAAAGGAGCCACCCATAGATGCCCGTGTCAACGCCTTTTCATGGAACTCATTGGCCCAAACGACAGCTTATGGCATCGGATTTGCTGCTTATATTAGCTGGCATTGTGCCTGAGACATCCACAGCATGAACTATTCCTATTTAATATAGCTACATATTTTTATATATCTATTTTTATATATACATATATGTGTGTGTGTATGTCTGCATACATGTATAACCCATTTTTGCAGATGCACATAATACATATTATATATATATATACATATATTTCTATATGAGTCTGTACGTATGTATATATATATGTGTGTGTGTGTTTATATAGATAGATGTTCTCATGTATGTTTGATGTCGGCGAGTGACTCTTGGCTTCTTGGGTCATTGCGCGTGTGTCTGATTAGGCGGCATGCGTCGATCGCAATTACTCGCTTGGCGCCAGGCCGGCACGAAGCATGGCCGGGGCAAGTTCATTTGGTCCACCCTTTGCCGCTACGAGGGCGAGTTTGACGCCGGAACCGCAATCAGACTCAGCTCTATTCATGTTGCGCGCGGTTCTATTTGTGGAAGCCCGCTTTTGTTTGGCTTGTTGCCATACCTGCCACAGTGCTGTGATTGCTGTAAAGGACTCTGTTGGCAGTGCGCGATGTTCGTCATTCGCTTACGACTGTTACTGATACTGGTCGTTTATGTGAAATAATTCCAGGGCAAATCTAAACCTGCTGCTTGAGACGGCTGAGGTTGCGATCGAAGCATGGGCGCAGGCTAGGTAGCAGGCAAATGAGGAGCAGTCTCTGTTGTGAGTTGCCCAGCCAAGCATCCACAGGGCCCAAATGCAATAGCCAGGAAATTCTTCGCTGGAGCTGCTATTTGCCTGGTGGTTGGGCAAAAATGAGGGCAGGGGTCAACTTGTGCTTGTCAACGGCGGTCATTTGCACGGTCAATCCAGGTTGCAAGTCGGATGAGAAGCCTCCAATGTGCCAGTCACCAAACCAAGGACAACAATGACATGCACGGCGAAGGGGTTTACACCTGGAGCGACGGCCGCGGCTATTCAGGCTTCTTTGGCGGCCACAGCGTGTTGGGCTGTGTTGTGTCGTGCTGTGTGGCCAGTGGTTGGTTTGGTGTGTTTGCTTGCTTGTTTGCTTTTCTGCTTAGTTTGCTTATCTGCTTGTGAGCTTGACTTGTTGTGTCTTTGTTGCGTGAGTCTGTCCTGTCTGCACTGTCTGTCCTGTCCGTCCTTCTGTTTATCTGTCTGCGCCCTCTCTGTTTGCCCCGCCTGTTTACCCCGTGTGCGTTCAATTGATAGTTTGTTTGTCCGTCCTGCATTGGACTTGCGCGTCGCATCACCCTCCAACAGTGCCAGCAAAAAGGTGCATTCAAATCTTTAAGCGTTGGTTTTGGACGCCCTTCGCGCCAGAGCCATGTCACCTGTGTGCAGATGGTTTGTGACGTGTGTGCAAGCCTGGAAGTGGGTCGGGGGTGCTACAGCAAAAGTGCCCAGCCCAGCCCTGCACAGGAAAAGAGAGCGGCAGAGGCCCCCCACCTCCTTGAAGCATCCAACACACATCGCTCTCAGGCCAGTGGACGCACAACACCATGGCCCCGAAGGGGAAAATGTGGTGGTCCGATGGGCGCACCTACATTGGCGAATTCCTGGACGGGCGCAAGCATGGTGAAGGCACATTGCATCTCGGCGAGGGGCGCGCGCGCGGCGGGGTGCCATGAGCCGATGCTGGGTTGGCATTACGCTAGGGCCTCGCTTTGTGTGATCATTTTGACGGCATGCTGAGGACCTGGCCAGATGGGCGCTCCTACAGCGGTCAATGGCAAGTGGCTGGGCCAAGAAGTGGAGAACTTGTGCCATTCGGATTAGCCGTGTGTGTTTACGCAAATGTTGATTTAGAAGCAGACGGCCCTCACAATATCAAAGACGTGTCTATGTGTTGGATTGGGGAACACCCCCTTAAAAGATGTGTTTTGCAACCAATTGAAACATGGCTTTTTCCACCAAAATATAAAGAAACCACCATTTTCAAGGCAATGTTCAGGTAATGCATCCGGATCCCTGTGGGAGCCACCGACTGGAAGCCCCTTTCCAGGCCCAAAAAATGGAGCCGGCCCAGGACGGCAAGCAGCACGGCACTGCGGTGGCGCAGACGGCCAAGGGCCTCAAGCGGCAAAGCATTTGGAAGGACGGAGCCCGGCAGTTGGACCTGCGGGGTCGGGGCATTTCCGGGCTTTCCGGACAGCCTTGCTTGGCCTTGCGGGGCGTTTGATCCAAGGAGGAATTTGGGGCCTGGTAGCCCAATTCGGGGCAAATGAACAAGAAGATGCCCGTGTGCTTGTGGGCAATTCGGGTGCTATCTTGAACATTTGGACCTTTGGCACGCGGTTCGTTTCTTGCCACGGATCATAGTTGGTCCCCAGCATCAGACTAAATCGGCGCAAAGTGCATTGGACACAGTACTGGGGCTTCCTGACCTGCTGGGTGCTGGCAAGGGTTGGTCACTGCAAGCATAGGCCTGGAGATATCCAGGTAAGTCAGCAGTGAATGATCATGTTTGGGCCACCTTGGCCTGGCCGAAATTATTTCAGGGCGAGCCCTTCCCATCAAACAAACCTCTGGCCGGAGGTTCAGTGGCTCACTTGTCGCCTCAGGATGGCAAGTTCGTGCAGTGGGCCACTTGGCCGAAAACAAGCAGACTGCCTGCTTCGAGTAAGCTTGGGGATCAGCGTGTTTGAAGGTCACCATTCTTGCAACGACTATACGTATGGGTCAAAACATGTTATGTACAGGTCTTGATGATTCGGCCGCCATGGCATGACCAAAATGGAACTGCTGCTTCTTGTTGCTCATGTTGTCCCTCCCATTGCTTGCAGGTTGGCGGCATCCTCGAAGATGCGGAGGCTCCAGTCGACGGCACGGACAACTGAAGGCGCTAGATGTTAAAGTCGATGTCCTTCGCAGATGTTTTTTAAGCTCAGATTTATCCAGAGTCCTCACTTTAAATTAGATTTTAGATTTTAAAGAGGATGTCCATTCACAGGGCAATTCTTTGATTTTCTTCTGCAAGTTAGATAGACTTAAATACGGGAAGAGTTCTAGTATCATTTATACAGAAAAATACATAGGATTCCCGGCAACATAATTCAATCGATAGATCCATTGGCGGGGGGTTGCATGCATACTAGTATACATATATATTTATATATACATACAGTATGCACATATGTGTGCATCGACATAGACTGGTTGATGGAGTGGTGATCCGGGATTCGGGATTCAATCACATTTCGGGTTAAACCACATTTTCGGGATTCAGGATTCGGGACTTTGAAGGCGCCATCCTCGGGATGCGGGATTCAGGACTTTGAAGGCCCCATCCTCAGATTCGGGATTCGGGATTCGGGACTGGGAAGGCCCCATCCTCGGATTCAAGATTCGGGATTCGGGACTGGGAAGGCCCCATCCTCGGATTCAAGATTCGGGATTCAGGACTGGGAAGGCCCCATCCTCGGATTCAAGATTCGGGATTCAGGACTTTGAAGGCCCCATGCTCGGATTGGCCCCATCCTCGGGATGCGGGATTCAGGACTTTGAAGGCCCCATCCTCAGATTCGGGATTCGGGATTCGGGACTGGGAAGGAATGAGAGCAGCGAATGAACGGTTAGCTCGTCCTCTATCCCTCGCTTCGCTCTCCCAAAGGCACTCAAGGAACGGTCTGGAGGACGAGTCAAGAGTAAACAGACAATGAACGGAGAGTCCCTGAGATTTAGCGGTTGGCCGGTTTCAACTCATCCCGCAAGCCACAATTCCAATTCGTGTTACGTGCGCTCCCCATTGCGCATGCACATCATCATCCCCCGTCGACGTTTTAAGGATGAGACTGCCAGCCGAAGTGGAATTCAATCAACGCGATAGCGTCCAAGCTTCTCAACAGGGCGGAGCGTTTTCAGGGAGTATGAAGCATGGAAGTTGAGGAGTCTTGGAAAGGAAGGGCGCAGACCTCCTTTGGACAGGGAAACATCTGGAAGGGGCGCAGGGTGCATGAACCATGTGAGGCACGGGGACAATTTCATTTCAGCTCAATTGATTTCGGCTTAAATGTCGATTGCCATCCTGGCTTCCATTGGGCCCTTTCGCGCGGCGCCCCTTTTTTTGCAACAGGATTGGTCTTCGCACTTGGCGGGATTTGCCTGAAAGAAAATTCATGTCCAGAGCCATGATTGGACATCAGCCTGCCCTTTCAAACATACTGAATGGAAGGGCGAGGAAGACCTAGTTAAAGGACTCCCCAGACATGTTGCACATGTTTTGCTTGTTTTGCCGTCCCACCAGGCGCTCAGCCGATACGCGGACTGGACGCTGAATGGGAAGGTACTAGGATATCTAGGATTACTGCCCGGCCGCCGATCGCAGAAGCACGAATTGACACAACCAGAGGCACAGCATGCGCACCAATCCCGCACACAGCCTTCACGGTCGGAAGTCTGGTGACTGACGGTTTCACCTTGTTTTGGTGCCCGTGGGGGTGCGTCGGCTTAGCTGCCTCGGGCTTCCAGCACGGACCCGCACGAACCTGTGGCTGCAAGCCGCTTTCATGTTGGCTTCTTGTTTGCTGTTTGGACTGGGCATGAAAGGCACATTGCACGTTGGCCACTCAGCTACGTGGACCGAGCATCCAGGTTTTTGTGTAAGCTTTGCTTTGGGACGTAAACGATGTGGCCATGAGACGGTGTACTCAGATGCGAATGCTCGATAGCAAAAGCAACAGGAAAAGCAAGGCAGGGTAAGGCAGATGCGAATGTTTTCTGACTTACCTTGCCTCTCGCTGCCTGCTTATGGTGGCCGCGTCTCACGTCAGTGGCTCAAGGCATTGTTGTAGGCAACAGTGTCTTTGATCACCCCCCCGGCACCTGCAGATGAACACACACCCCAAGAATCGTGTTCAAACCAATCTCTACTTTGGATGATGCCCTTTTGGTTTCACATTATCTGCTGGGGGGGTGAATCGCAGGCTCTAAAAATGCTTGCCACTGTTGGGCCAAAGACCCCAACTCAGACCGAGGTGCATCATGAGCAATGAGTGGCAATGAGTGGGTGCGTGGGGGGAGGGCTTGGGCCGTGAGCCGCTGCCAACAAGAAGAAAAGGTGCAGCTGCAAAGATGTTCGCGAATGGAATTTGGGGCATGGCCTCGAACAAGCTCAGGGGTTTTCTTCGTGCTGGTTCACTAGCATGGCGTGCGGCTTGAGATGCGCTCCCCAGAAAGATGTTGCCAGCGAAGCCTTGGCCCCAGGACCTTGGTCTTCTCGGCGTTTGCAGGTCAGGTCTTGAGACGAAGGTTGGACGAAGCCTTATCGGCAAAAGTGAGAAGTCCGGGCGCAGTGTCCAACCTCAAAATGCCGGCCCAAGGTTGGTCGAAAGAAAACCCTCGGCTCAGAGAAGATTAGAGATACGTGACCGATACTTCATGCTTGCCAAATGGAACCGTCCAACCAACTGCCTGGAAGCACTCCATGCTTTTGGCTTTCTGTGAAGCAATGGGGGAAAGCGATGTCTGATACTTGTCTTCTTTTTCCGTCCAGGTGTCTCAGCCGCCCTTGTTCCTCAAGGGCGTGCGCGACTGGCATGGCTTGAGCCGTTTTTGCGCCTGCAAAAGCGCAGGTGCGTCTGAGTGTTACTTGCTTTGTGTCTACGTCTAGGTTGACGAGAAACTGCTTCAAGCCGCTTTTGTTTGCTGTTGGTAGTTATTCGCATGATCGTGTTTGCTTAGGTCACTTTTTCTCAGGTCATTGGGGTTGGAGACGCTCAAATGGTAACGACGGAAAACATGGTTTAGCAACGTTACTAGCAGCACCCCTACGCAGTTGGGTAACATGGTTGTAACTGACTTTCACAGCAGTTGTGACTGCAGATTGCATGAGCCCTCGACATCCTAAGGTTATTGCAGCCGCGTCCATCTTTAAGTTGTATGCTGATGTGGTTTGGCTGCATGGCAGGCTGTACGAGCTCTCCAACTGTGGATCCTCCCGCGTTCTGGGCAACCACTTGATGGCATTGCTTGCAGGGGACTCAGGAGGACTTGGCGGCTGTGTCGTTTCTTTTAATGTAAAGGGAACATCGCTACAAAAGTTCTTTGCACCTGTTGCAGGCGTGCAGTGAATGCATTCTACATAATTGTGTAAACGTGTTGGCAAGATGAAGGATTGGGGATTGGCCGTGGGAATGGTTGCATGGTGAGTAGGCACGCTCTGACATGCTTTGAAATCCCTTGTTCGCTTGAGGCGTGCTGAACCGAGGCACTCACTCCCTGAGTTCTTGGACTTTATATTGTTTGGGGAAGACCAGCTGAGTGGAAACCAAGAAGTTCAGACTTGCTTTGGCCAGCCACTCGTTCGGAAGTGAGGAGTGAAGATTGCAAGACCCTTGATTTCACCTCTCCAGAAGGGACCTAGACACAAAGGCTGATGCAAACTGCCATGTCCCTGTTGTCCAGTGGCAACAATTTGGCCTTTCTTCTATTTCCCCCTGAAGTCAAACACTATTCAGTAAAAGATACCCATTCATGTGCCTTTTCCCATGGTGGATAAGTGAGCTTCAGTTGCTATCGCTGGCTCCGTTGTCGCTGGAAAGGCTTCCAGCCAAAGTGCCTATGCCCCGCAGCCACAGCATATCAGAGATATCGAGCATGGCCAATTGGTCAAAGCAATTGCAATTAGACAGTAAAACGATCGGCCAACATCATTTTGACTATGTGTGCCTTCATCGTGGGTTGCTGGACCTTCAATGAATGCCATGGCGTAAACATCGGACAGTATGAGGCCAACTTACCTCGTTTCAGCAACCATCGCTTCTCGGCATAGATCGGGCAGATTCCTGCTCATGGCGGAAGAAGTTGATGAGGACCTTGTCAGGGGAGGTACTTGCACCCTGGTGTAAGCTCCTGTGACATGCTTTGAGCAAGCATGTGTAGCAAAAGGAACCAACAGGGTCGTGCCTCTAGGAATCATCGGTTGGTCGTTGGGCGGTTCCTTGCGAATTTACAAATTCAAAATGAGTGGCACCCCTACATCACTTTGGAGCAGGGTTACTAGCCCCCGGTCAGTTGACATGAGGCTAGCAAATTAGTGGCACGTCTGGAGAATTTGATGGGTTCCATTTTAAATCTCCAAACTCACCACACGTGCTGCACCCATCTTGATAGTTTCCCAACATGGAACCCATCAAACCCCTTGATTTTCCAAACCCTCATCTTGATACTGTGGATGGAAGA